CAACTGGGTGGTAAAACATGTTCGCTCAAGATGGGGCTGGAGCAGGTACACCATCGGCGGGCTCCAGATAAGCACGCTCTGCTGATAAGCAGTGCCTCATTAAGCCCCAGGACTCAACGGCTTGCAACGCAATCCTTGGCCCACAAGTCCCTCCTCTTTTCAAGTTGTAGCCCTCAGTCATGGAACTGGCAACGGAAAACCGCTCTGGGAAAGCGGTCAATATTGAATTAATTTTTAGCGCGTAGCACGGGGAGGAAGGAGGGTCAGGGACCATGCCAAAGAGGAGAAATAGTAGAAGAACTGGCCAAGCATGTTGCTGAGTACAACCTCAGCGTAGCCATGCCTGGATGAGCAGATGACCCATGGAGATGACGCATGGAGATAACCCAAACAATGAAACCAAAGTGTTCTGAATTCTGCTAGGGTCAGAGTCCATGGACACATTACAGCACCATTTGGGCTTTCCAAGACCAAAGCAAGGCCTTACCCTGCGCAAGGGGTGTGATCTAACATAAAGAACCCCCCATGTCAGGCCCCTCCTTGATTCCAGTAAGCAGGACCAGGCCTCCTCTTTGACTTCATACCACAAAAAATGGGTGGTTTTGTGAGGTTTCTGACTCTTGCTACCACTCAGAAGCTGGGTCTCTTCTTGCCTGAACCTTGGCTTAGTCTCAAGCCCCAACCTGAGGCTCAAAAATGCCAGATACAGGTCCAGATCTCTGGATCCTCTTTCAGCTCTGTCTCCAACCTCTGGAGGTCCCTCCCAGCCAAGACTCCCCAGAGCCACCCCATCCCTGCCCCACAGCCAAACTCTGCGCTGAGTCCGACACAAGAGATCAATGCATGGGACACACTGACCCTCCCTCCTGCCCATGGAGGTGGGAATCCATGTTAATTTAAGGCTTTTCTGCTCAACATTCACAGCTGCAAAAACAGAAGGCAAACTTCTGACCTCCCAAAACTAAACATCAGGTAACTACCCCTCTCTCTCTTTCGGTCCACCCACGCGCTCTCAGAGTGGTAGCTACACCTGTTTAGGACAGGTTCTCCTTATCAAGACATTACCCTTATCTTTCAATAGACAAGGTGGCATTCTTTGGGGCAAATTTTCTATTTATATTCTATTTATATCTTCTGATGTCATGCCTCCCCCAAGCAGGAGGTCAGTCTAATGCATCCATCTCCAGCCATGCCTCCTGGGAGTACAGCCTTCCCTCCAACTCCCACGGGGCTGCCCCAGGGGGAGGCATCTGATGACAGTTTGACTGGCAGAGGGAAGCACGACTGTGTTTGTTTGGATAGCCAAAGGACTTGGAACAAATGTCTCTGACTCATGTTGGTTTAGATAAAAGGACCTCGGCCTTGTCATAGGATCAGCGGGGCCAGCTAGAAACCACATGTGTAGACCGTCTTTGCCCTCAGACCCTTATAAAACAGAACAATAACGATAATAATAACAGTAATAGCAGAAAGTTTTCACAGCTCAGAGGTGCTCACTCCTTTCTGCCACTGGGGTGCCAATACCAAGGTCAGGGATCAGGGCTGCAAGTTTGGTGTCACCTGTGGGTTGGGTGACCAAAAGCTTGGGGCATTTTGCTGCTTGGTGTCTTGTGTCCCAACCTGACCTGGCTGACAACCCCTGCCCTTGCAGGCTTGGTGTCTGTCTGGGAGGGAAGAGTAGGCTGGACGTGGTGGTGCCTGGAGTGGGGGACGAGGAGGGAGACAGGGACCACTGCATCTGTATCCATATGGCATACTGAAGCAGCGAATGAAGGAAAAGGAAGGAGGGGGTGGGTAGAAGAGAAAATCCCAAAGATCCTCGGATAATAAGCACCATTAAGGTTAGTCTGTCTCATGATTGTTTCTTATTAAAAAGAGACTGTACTTTATCTGTGCAGGATATGCTGTTTGGATGAGGGAATTAGCAGAGTGACTGCCTCCATATCATCTAATTAGCAAAAATGTTGATAAGCAGATACAATCACATATGATTAGGATCCTTTTAAAAAGCCACTCCATTAATTAAATAGACAGAAAGGCCGCCTCCAGCCCTCGCGTGCCACTGATTAGAATACAAATATTTACACTAATCTCACCTCCATCAGCCATGGGACACTTTTGAGTATTTTTAGTGACATCAGATTACTATTGATTTTCATCCCCAATGTCAGACCATTTTGTTAGTATCTGAAAGTGCTGCCTTCAGTTTCGGATGCTTTAAATCATGTTAAGGGTTTATCTTAATGACACTGCTGATAACCACTGTTCGGGTCACTCGTACTTTCTCTTCAAAGAACACAGTCTGGGCTGGTTTTTATTGTTTGTACTTGAGATTTAAGATACGAAATACATTTCTCATTTCAAAGCCTTGGTTTCTAGGGATGGGGCTGCCAGGCTAGTTTGGGTCTCGTTACTTGATGTGTGCATGCCTCTCTCATTTCCCTTTCTCCCTGCCTCTCCTCGACCCTTTCTTTTTGTCTCGCAAACCCTTCTGGCTCACAGCAGTGGCCTCTCTTGAATGGCTGCTAATCTCTGATGCCTGCTGCAGTCAGCAGACAGACAGGCAGTGAGCATCCCTGGTTCGGGGATGACAGGAAAAAAACACTCCCTACTTTTCAGATGGGTAGGACTCACTAAACCCAAGACAGATAATTCAGCGCGCCAGCCAGTCTGAGACGGGCACTCATCATCAAAAGCACGTGTGGGAGGAGATGCTTTGCAAAGAGACAGCACAAGGCAGAGTCACCTCCTTCCTTCCATGCACATCCCCACTCCCTGCAGTAGATAACTGGCCTGGGACTCTCCAATAGACTTCTCTGACATCCCATTTTCCCTTCTGGGTAATAGAGAGTAGGAACAGCAATTACTCTTGAAATTTCTGCCACGCATCTGCAAATGGACTGCGTTGGCAGAGGTTAGGAGCTGCTGGCACCTTTCAGTGGCTTGTGAGTGGTAAGCCAGGATCACCCTCAAGTCCAATGGACAATCATAAAAAAACACTAGCACAAATATACGAGTCTCCTTGATGGAGATTTCAAGCAAAGCACCACAGTGTGAGCAAGCCATGAAACACCAGCTCTCCCCTCAGTGTGGAAGAGGGCTTTGGGATGCTTTGGGAGTGCAAAGAGCCCTCGGAGTTCAAAGGCACAGCTGCAGCTCGCTGCTGTGCCCAGACTGACTTTGCCATTGCTACAGGATGAACAACACCCAGCAGAAAAATAATTCCTGTGGTACAACCACCCTGTAGTTACCACGACCTCCTCTGTGCAAAAGAAGGCAAAAACCAAGATCTCCCCAATGACGTAAGCCCATGTGCCAAGAGCTCCTTCCTTGCTTTGCACTTCCTTTGGCTCCAGTCTCCAGACCAGCGCCGTGATGCCTTACAGCTGCTTTTACTGCCAGCATATGGCAAGTATCTCCATACTACTGACCAGTGAGGAAACCAGGAAAACAAAGCCCTTCCCTGACGTGCATCAGCTCGACCGCTTTCCTTCCTTTGCCATACCGCTTTCTACAGGCGGTCATGGCTGCCCCTGAGCTTCATGGCCCCAAACGCGTGACGTGTGCTAGGACAGCACCCAGCTCATACGCTGCGCATATGCCCTTTGGTCTGGCTGGCTCTTGATTCCTTCCCAAAGTGTGGGATAATGGAAACGCAGGCAGTGATCTGCAACACACGCTGCCATTAGTAGGTGCTTACAGCAGTGTGTTACAGACAGATGAGTTCTCATTACTGGCACTTCCTTGGAGACCTCTTCATGCAACAATTCCCTATGAGAATATTGCATTTCCCACAGGAATGGCAAATCCAGAGAACAGAAATAGATGCAGGATAACCCCAGAGTGGATCATCAAAGTTCATCTTCTCAGGCTGAACTTGCCTGTGTGGAGTTCATGTGGTATTCTTGTTACACACACATCCACCTTGGCACAGATATCCAAAACATCACGTAGAAAAGAGGCTGAGGTTGTTCATGAGATTCATTCTGGGAATTTATTTCGGTACCAACATGAGAGCTAAGCTCTTACAGAAGTGTTAGGTTTGGCTATAAACTCAAAAGAGATCACGATGGTCATATAATCATGATTTTAGGAAAAAGCCCTGTGATGGGTTAAAAAAGACCACATGAGGAGATTCAAATGATTTATAATGAAAGATTTGTAACTTATTTGGAGTTTAAATTTGGCTAGTGTCACCTTCCAACTGCTTTATCAGGGAGCCTGAAGATCTCTGTGCCATTGAATCTCTGTTCCCATATAGGTTCTTACAGACTGCGATGAAGGTGGCACTGAACTTCCTCTTAATACTCAGGACACTTTCCCTGAGTATGTCCCTCCAGAGAATATTTTCCAAATGCTTAATCACATTTTATGGCTCTTCCCTGAGCCTTGCAAAATTTATCAATGCTTTTCCCAAACTGTGGGAAGCCAAACTGCAAACAGCTCTACTATAGCTCCTGCTAGAGTGTAACATACCCCATAGGGGTAATATGACCTCACTACACCACACTTTCCTGGACTGCACACGAAACCACATGGGATATTTGAGAATCCCACTTTTGGGCAGGTGCAGGCAAAAAATAATCTGTCAGATTCGTACGTCACAGCTGTGACATCACAGCTACATCAGACAGCTACAACTCACAGGTATGATCTGTGTTTAAAAACACAAGGCTAGTGACAACCAACTTCACCCTAGAGTGGTCAGGTCAACTGGGCAGTGATTGGCCGAGCCCCCTCTGAGGTCACAATCTCATGGTTTGTGGACAACAGGCTTAAAAAGAAAGGAGGTGGTCAAGCAGCACTTCTCTCCCTGCGTGGCCTCGTAATGCAAAAGGACAGAACAGACGAAGGGACGCGCTGAGCAGCTACCCCTCACCGAGGAGCGCAGTGTCAGCAGGTGTCCAGGACTCTCTGCGTGCTGATCATCCCTTGACTTCAACGTCCTTGGTGGGAGAGAGGTGCCAGGCATCTTCCAAACAGCCACCCTTTCCTTTGAGATGGGGGATTATTACGAAGTCCTTGGACTAAAAAGAAGTGCCTCACAGGATGATGTTAAGAAATCCTACCACAAACTGGCACTAAAATGGCATCCTGATAAGAATCCTGGTAACAAGGAGGAAGCTGAAAAGAAATTCAGAGCAGTTGCTGAGGCATACAAGGTTTTGTCTGACCCTCAGAAAAGATTGGTCTACGACAGGTCTGTTAAGGAGACCAGATCCAACGGACGAAGAAATGACATGGGGGGTCATAACAGCGCGTTTGTTTCCCCTTATGTGTTCTACGACCTCAAGATGTACCCCTTTGGAAGGATGTGTCCCTTTGTTTTCTGGGACCCCTTTGACAACATCAGAAGCAATGGTGAAAACTGGCACAGGACAAGTGGAAGAAGCTCCAGCTTGTTTTCTGACTGTGCAGATTCATTTATACCGTGGAATTCATTCAGCCCCAGCCATCAGCCCACCTTCTTCTTTGCCCAGGGTACAGCTGGGCCACATGTCAGATCAGTGTTAACCACTACTGAAGTTAACCACTACTGAAGTCACCACCCGGAAAATCACTGAGAACGGGCAGGAGAGAACAGAAGTGGAAGAAGATGACCAGCTGGGTCTGTGATAATAAATGGGAGAGACTACCTGAAATTGTAATGTCCACCAGCACAAGCATTAACTTCAAGCTGAGAGACACACTCTCATTACTCAACGGATGGGATCTACGACAAGCAGTATTAATAAATGCTGAGTTCATGACACAACTGATGCAGATTTCTCAGTGGTTGCGAACAAATACTTTACAGGTAAAGATATGGGGTTAAGCTAAACTAAGGAGTGTGACTCTACTAACCCTGTGTAAGGTGAAGGTGTTTGTTCAGTAAATATGTATAGTAGATGTGTATGAAAACAACCTTGTTGGTTTGCCAAAGAGACCAATTGATTAATATAGCAAAAGGAGACAGGCTGGTTGACGGGCAGGTAGGAGAGCTCTATGACAAGCTGCAGGTCCTCTTCCCATTCCTTGAAACATCAGTTTTGAAGCCTACTGGCTGGAAGAATAAAAGCTTGTGGGACCCTCACACACAACCCTGAGAATGAGTGAAGAATATTCTACCTCTGATGTATGATAAGATGCATATTCATTGAGAAAAATTTTTGTACACAGGCAAGAAGGTGGGGGGCATTCAGTGGGTCATGCAGAGCCTGGAGGAGAGAGACTGACATAGGGAAAAAAAACAAGAAAGAAAAATGTCACTCCTCAGCCTGTAGAAGAAAATATGGGCTTTCTTGAGAATGCCCTGCAGTTTACGACCAGAGACCCTGATGGAAGCACTGCGTAGCTCGGGGGCTGAATGTGAGCAGGGAGAAGGTGATTTTTGTCTCTTGGACCTGGACAACCTATGGTCTCCTCTGCTTGTAGTCATTCAAACAAAAAGAGCTAAATTCAAACCATGAGCAAACAGATTCCAGGGGGCTGAGTTTAGCTCCCTCTTTGTGCAAAGCTGGATGGGGGGGACTTAGATGGTGCTTTACCATCCTTATTGTCTTGCTCACAGCTGCAAGAGCCAGTTCACAATGCATTTCTTGCACAGCCTGCCAGCATGTTGCTGTCGTCCTCCACTGAGCTAAGGAACGCGCTCCCCACGTTTCCGCCCCCCTCCCCGTGCTGACATGAACTGCTGAGCCTCGTTTCTTGCTTGGCCAGATCACCTTAGGCATTTAAAATCTTACACGCCTCTTATTTTCGGTCCCACGCTACATCCCCTTGAGTTTCCCAGCTTGCCCTGCCCACTGATGTCTCCCTGGAGACTGGAACTGGCTTTCAGGGACATTTCCACTCTAATCCAGATTGCAATTGCTGCCTGCGTTTGGGCAGGTCTTTGCATCTGTTTCCTCTGCTGTAAAATGGGAATAACAGACTCCGATGCTGTGAAGGAGACTGCAAGGTAGATACACTCATAAAGACTCCGAATGTTAAACACTAAGGTAAATTAGCCACCCCTTAATCAAAACCTTCTACTTTTGAAAACTGTACCCTATATCACCTTCCTTAGCGACTGATACCAAGTTCAGCTTGGAAAATCAGACTAAAACTGGATTTTTTTATGTGAAGGGCTGTTAAGTCCCTGTGAGTCAAGAAAGACACAGCTCTGGGAAGCAAGTAAAGGTCTAAGCGCATGCTGGGTTCAAAGAGGGAGGCCAGCAGTGATGGTTTGGGAGCCATAAGCCATCCTGCAGGCACTGGGACTCCAGGGATTTCAAAGTTTTAGGGGACTTGGTACAGAAAGAAGATTATTTTGGTCAGAGCAAAGACAAGTAAATATTTCTGCTCTCTGCAGACACTGTGTTCGTGTGAGATGGCCTCTTGAATTTAGCTTATGCTACTTCAGAGGGAGTCCAAGAAAAAACCAACTTCCAAAACAAGTAACACCTGCCCGCCCCCCCCAAACCGCACATTTTGGATTGGAGACTGAAATGGTCTTTGATCAAAATAACATGTTTTGATACCTGGAGCAGAGTTCAATTCCCAGCTCCTCAACCTTTCAGCTTGCTAGGGCTAAAACTTTGCTCCAGTCTTATCTCTAATAAGATATTTTTATGTATGCCCATCCATATTTTTTGGTCTGAGATCAAGTTATGCAGACTTACATGTCTTAGGCCCGTCCTGCCTCGGGTCAGCAGTCCCCTCTCGTATCAGATCTAAGAGCAATCACCTCCTTTTCTCATCCCTTGGTCAGAGCCGTTTCCATTGCCACTTGCAGCAGCAGAGAGCTCCCGGGGCAGCTCTGGCAGCTGCACACACCAAAACCTGCTCTTAGGAATATGGGAACATGGACTGGGAAGGGACCCAGCTCACCCAGTAAGTGTCGAGTCCAGGAGGATCTGCAGATCCTCTTCCATATTTCCCCATGCAGGCCACAAAGCATCTCACAGCACTTCCTGTGAGCAAATGATTGGAGACTGAAAAAGAGAACAGACAACCAGCGTTAGCAAAAT